CCTCTCTCCTCGTATTCGAAAGCTGAAGAGGGACCAGAAGATTCGACACACGGGAAAGAGAAACGCAGTCTCTCCTCGAAATCCACTTTCTCAGACGAACTACTGTTGACGGTTCGCGGCATCGAGGGCGGCCCTTTGCCCCCTACCTACCTAGGTAGACCCTAGGTCCCGGGCCCTGGTTCCTGGTACCACCATAATGATAATAATAATGGCATGCAGCAGGCAAGCCAATCCCATTGTTGGAAACGGTCAAAACGTACCTACCTAGGTACCTACTTCTTGGTTGCTTGGTGCCTTGGGGCCTGGTGGTACGTAGCACCAAAGCAAAAGGCAATGGCACGAGCACAAAGCACGAAGCCACCAACAACCAAAAAAAGGTTCTCTGTCCCACTAATACTAGGGCCACCGAGGGCTTTCTAAACAAGACCGACTGGTAGATCCTTGAACTTTAGTTGGTCACACCTGCCCCGAGACGATATCTGAGGCAACTACTTGGTACTTGGACGAGTTACCCAGGGACCAAACTAACTCTGAGTAGCTACCCAGCCAGCCCACAAAATCCTCCCTCCTCCAGTCAGGGTCACATCTATTCCCTTTTTGGGCGAGTGGGGAATGAGCGGAGGGACAATGGACGAGGGGTGAGGGACGAGAGACGAACCAGCCAGGCCAGGAACCAGGGTGCCGGGGTTCAGAGATGCGACGGAGTAGGGATGAGGTCTAGGGACGAGTAGGTAGTTCAATCGTGATGAAGAATGGATGATCTACCTACCCATGTAATTCGTTAGCCTCAGCATCTCTTTCATCTCAGTACCTAGGGCAGACATACGAGTACGCAGGACCATGTACGTACATGTATGTGCACAGTGACACTGTACGTACTGCATCTGTCATATGCCACATGCCACATGTCAGTGCCATGTGCCAGCGGAACACCACACAGACTTTATTCCGAGCACTATCTTTCTCCCAAGAAACTCCAGGACATCAAAAAACGTGGTTGACAGTTTTTTGACAATTGACAGTTGGGGCGCATTTTTCTGGTTGTGTGGGTCCTTTGGGTCCTGACGAACTCCTGGGGGACTCGGGAAGGGAGAGAGGATCCCTGTTGATTATTGAAGATCCTGCATGGCCGCATGCAAGCCACACGGACATGAGCATAAATTAGATTTTTTTTTTTTCCCAGTGATACTAGGTTCCAAGGTACCTCGTGCGAATGAGTACAATGATCAAAGCACACACGGATGGGTAGGGCAGGTGGATTCGTGCTCGCCATTATTGCCGTTGCCAATCCGTATTTTACGTACAAATTCGCTCGGAAGCCAGAAGCGCCAAAAAAGCCATCGGCGCTGAAAACTACTGCTAAGAAAGGTACGAGGTTCTCTACTTCTCGTGAAGCCGCTCGATTTCGATTACGATCCCGATTGCGATTGCGACTCCAGGTTTCAAGGGGGGACCGACGCACAGCTCAAGCGAGACAAAGGCGCCACGCTCGCTCCCAGCTCCTAGGTACTAAGCTCGAGAACGACTCGAGGTTAGTGTCTGGTGCCTGGTGTGCTTGTCCAGCTGTGCATAAACCTTTTAATTTGAGAGGGGTCTTACTTATTAGTTGTTATTGAGACGTGCAGCTGGATACGATAACAATGGCTTGGTTGTGTTGATAATAAAAAGTAATAATGACTGATATGCCTCCTTTGAGTGAGTTTTTCCAATCCCTTCTCTTTGATCAGGCAAGTTTCCGCGACATGGATCTGTGTGTGTGTACGTACATAGATACGAGGTGCACGGGACACAGGAGTCAAGACTCGGGTCGGGTACACGTACCTATGTACAAGTGCTCGTAGTCATGAATCCATACCTATGGAGTAGTAGTGCTCCGTGTGTTCCGCGTGGTTTGTTCATCATCACTACTACTAGGTAACGCGGCATGCGCGGTTCCAAGCGGCACCAGCATAAAATATGGTCAAGTACGAATAAAAGGTGCTTGGTAGCCTCACAGGATGTGCTGGATGATAGAACATTCCTCCCACCCAATTCGGCTCAGAAGACGTATCCACCTCTTCCTCACATTGAATGCCACAGACAAAAGACGAGCTCGTGTCCAAGCACCAGTCCTGTGTCTCTGCACGAGACCTCAAAAATACTCATATGGAACCATTCTATGCTGGGTTATCCTGGCGTGCCTGGCGCGTCTGGAGAGGAACAGAGTCTGGAACAGACGGCGATCCACCGTTGTCAAGCTGTTGAGACGGCCAAGCTGTGCCTGAACTAACAAAAGTCAAATCCAATCAGCTATTCTCGATATAGCATGGGACGAATGGACGTGAAGAGAGAAAAACTCAAAAACACCTCCTAAACTCAGGCCCCACCAACTGATCCGGGGGAAAGAAATGGAAAGGAATATTCCCATGTCTTGAGGTCCTGGGGGGTCTTGGTCTCGTTTGGCCAGGGAATCGCCAATTGCCCAATTGCCAGGATTTGTTCAAATCTTGCAACAAGATCAGTGGCGTTTTTCTTTTGGCCCGATCCTTGCGAAGTCGTCGTGACCTTGGCCGTGCGAACTTACTCCAGAGTCCAGACACCGAGGCGAGGCGGACGGATTGGGTTGGGGGGTTGATGATAAGGCATTGAAAGCTGGCCATCGTGGCCATCCTTGCCAGACTTGTATAGAAGCATCTTGTCTTTACCTCCCAGAGCTAAAGGCCCAAGGCTCAGGGGTCTACCTACATACTTGTACTCCTAAATGGTGTCACTTTGAGGACTCGCTCACTCGTTACTCGCAGAGGGACGTGCCTCGTACTTGCCTAGAAAATTGATTCTCCTCCCTTCCTTTGCCTTTCCCACTCCCAGAAAGCATGGCAAAATGATTACGAGTACAAAAACCTTGATCTCGATGCCTTTTCTAGCCCAACGGGTGGATTCTGACTCGTATCTCGATTTTGGTATTTGAACTAGACGGAACAACCATCTCGTCCCTGACTCCACTGCTCCTTCGGTCCTCCCTAGGTCCAGGTACTGGTGCTGGCACTTGCACTGGCACTTGGACTCGTCCGTCCCGGCGGTGCCGTAGCAATAATAGCATGGCATGGCACCTCTCAAGTAGGTACCTAAAACCTCATGACCTCGGCGACGCACGCTACGTACAAGTTCAGACGCTACTGTATGCAGCGTAGCTCCCCCCTTCCTCCCGCTTCGACAGTCCGTTCGCCTGTTGGACTTTTTTGGGGTTGGGATGATTTGGGCAAAGGGGGCGCGGTTTTTCCACTTCGCCCCTTGTTTTGAAGACAAAAGCGTGCTTGACCAAGTGTCAAAGTGCTTTGTTTTGTATACGAGAAGAGGGTCGCTAGACTGGCACGGGCACGGCTAGTAGGTCTTTCCCACTCATTCCTCCTCAGGTCCTCGAAGACGCCCAGCTGAAACAGTTTTACCTACTTGAAAATGATGACCATGTTCATAAGTTGCATAGGTAGTGAAGGAATTGCATCCCTTCCCTTTGCCCTTTTTGCTAAGTAGGTGAGTGGCAAACAATGGGAAAAAGGGGGAATCATGGGAATCACATCTCCGCCCGGGGCCTGTCTGTGATCGACAATCGACAAAGGCGTGTGCCACACACGAAACCACGCACCCAAGGCACAAACCTTGGTCACCTCGGCGAGTCGGTACAATAATAGGTTCCCCTCTTCATCCACATATACTTTACAGGGATATCCTTATACTTCATGCTGTGTATGAGTTCTATATGTTGTAGGTGCTCGATACTCCGTACGTAGGTATGCACTCACAGGTACGAGATATTCGTACAAATTCATGCTCTGACTACAAACACCCCTACATAGGTACATCTCTAGGAGACCTAGCCCCTTCTACTTGTACTGTACGTACTCTAAGCGCGGGTCACCAGTGGGGAGGGGACTTCGTATTCCGCAGGCTGCTTACCCTCTGTGCGGCCCGGATGGTGCATGAAGAAAGCAAGAGCATGGCGCCTCATGGCACTTGCATGGTGGCAACGTTGGTTGGGGCTCTGAATCTTATTAGTAGGTACCTAGGGAGCCAGCTGCAGCACCTAGTCTGCTAGTAGTAGTTGGCCGTGGTAGTTAGGCGGATGGAGGTGGTTCTGGTGGCTTGGTTAGTACAAGTACAAGTACCTGCCTCGTACTTGGACATCCTGGCATACTGGGGCGATAGGCAGGTACTCGGAGGGGTCTCCAACTCCAACTCCAACTCCACCTCTCAGCTCAACAGCCACGACTAGGATTTCCTATGCCGAGTAGGCACCACAGCCCCTATGTAAGTACTCCGTAAGTAGGCATGGTCCTCTCTGCAAGCGACCCCAACCCCAGACTTTGTTAATTTCTCTACTCGGAGCCGTACGAGGGGGTACTCGCCCCGATTCCCGAGCACCTACAAGTACAAGTACCGACTACTAGGTACTCTTAGGGAAGGGGCTTGGTTGGAGGAGGGCTGGCGCTGCGGGTGGTTGGCCACCGCCCAGATCGGCGATTTGAGGCTCTTGCCATTAAGATTCGATCCATGATTTCCCCATCTCGCTTGCCTCTCACATTCTGTACCCAAGGCAAGGTAGGGGTTCACAAGCTCTGCTCTGGGGTGTTGAGTTCGTGTGGAAAGCAAATCTCCAAAGTCATGATGTAAACGATCGAGAGACATGACGTTCAAATATGAATTGCTGCGAATGCCTAGGTAGGGTTGATGACGCTGGTGACGCAGGATTAATGATTGGGTTTATGGCCCAAAAAATGGTAAGGAGAAAAAGGTGAGAGAAGGTGAGGCGAGGTGATGTCAACACGGAGAGACAGAGAGACAGAAACAGAGGAAGAGACAGACAGAAAACTTAAGAGACAAAGAGAAAGAAACAAGTCTCAAGATCGCTTATGTATTGGTTGTGTTCAAGGGGAGACAGACCATCGACCATCAGATCATTGTGAAACCTGTTGACATTGACATCGACAACAACCACCACCACCACCACCACCACCACCATCGCTATGGCAGCTCGAAGCCGCGCCTCCAGACCCTCAAGCCTCTCTTCAACCCTGTCCCCTCACAATCACTCCAGACTTCTCGCACTGCATCAAGACACGCCCAAAGAACCTATGCGTCCACATCCACCCGTCCCAACGTCCCCGGGACATATAACAGCAGGGTACCACTGTAAGATCCGCACCTTCTACACACATACACATATACAGACACAGGGTTCTTATACAGATGTCCTATACGTGAGATTAACGCAAACACAGAATCGCAATCGGCTGCGTCCTGGCCTTTGTGCCCTTCTACTACCTCTTCCACAGCACCAAGCCGGCCGCGTCGGGAAACGCCGCCATCACCGAGGCGCGGAGGCAGGGTGATCCGTCGACAGAGTATCGCGACCCGAGGGATAGTCCGGTCAAGACGCTGGAGCAGCAGAAGAAGGTGAAGGCTCAGGGAGGGGGGCAGGGTAAGTGAGGCGATAATGGCGATATTGTATGGGCGATACTGTACGCGGTACAGGGTGAGAGGGCCTGCATGACACACAAACAGGGCAGGTAGAGAAAAGGTTTCGAAGAACAAAGGGTGAGTTTGGATTGTGAACTCGGTATCTATTGGTACAATGCATGCTCCTTGTAACAGGACGTCGGAGTTGCTAAATTAGACATGGTCCTCGCGGTTGTGTATATGGCATGGAACTTTATTGTCGAACAAATCATCTTCCCTTCTCCTTGGGACCGATAACGATAGCCGTTTCCACTTCTCCTGCATGAATCAACTCGTCAGCTGGAAGTCGATAGATCGTGGCTCCCATCGGGGGATGCGCGGCCGGAAAATAGAGTAGGGGAACAAAATCCTCGACTCTGATGTGAAGGCTTCATGGAATCATGGAGGTCGATCCCAGCGGACCGCGACGGTGACGGACGACCTTGTTGGGGATGTGTGTGTGTGACCTCCGCAGAAAACCTCTCCATCGAGTTCTGTGGGACACGATAAAGGGGTTCTTGGTAGGTACATCCAAGAAATCCTCGAGAAAGAGACTCTTGGTCTCCCTGCAAAGCGGTCGTATGTTGTCGAGCGACATGGCTTGACTTCAAGACCGGGGCTAGCCTTCGCTACATAGCCTGGCCGCGATCGTCAATCACCAGCTCGAGCATCCTGAGGCCAGTGCGGAATCTGCGCTTCGATGCGAGATCTCCGAGACGCTCCATGCAGAGCAATATGCGACCAGCGGCGAAAGACTCGTCGAGACAGACAAGGTGGTCTGTCGCGCTAAAGTTACGGGGAGACGATGCGATGTGAGTGCAACGTTCCCACCGCCTCTCCATAGAAAGATAGGAGCCTGAAAGCGTCGTGTCGTGATTGCTGGGAAGTTTCTCCAACCGGCACCATGGGCGTATCTGTCTGGACCTCATGTTCGACCGCACCGTAGTCAGTAAGACGCTGTGAAATTCAGACCCGATCGCTGGCTCGACCGGACCACCAGCGCCGGGATATCGGTCGGAAGTGAACGCATGTCGGTGCTGCATTCCTTCGATATCGTGGCCATTTCTGACAATGCTCCGCCTGGTCTTGCCAGCCAGCGTCTGTCGTGGATAAGATCAACTGCTACTCGAACCGGATCTGGCCATCATGTCTTGGAACATCGCCGACCGTCACCCTCCGCGATTGTCGGCAGATGTGAGAGCAGTGCGGGCACAAACTTGCACCCATCAGGTTCGACGACGTCGCAATCCAAAAACCCATCCAGGATCGAGCGAACATGTTCCCACGACGACAAGTTCATCCGCGCAGCCAGGAGGGAGAACTGGTCGCTGAACCAGGTCTCATTGTCGCCACACCTCCTCAAGCCCAGGTAGTCATGTTCAGCCTGCGCACCGACGTACAGCGCCCACAGTCGCGCGTTGGCGTATTTCATCGACCCCGTAAAGTCCATGACCGCCTGCTCCTTTTCGAGGAGCTGCCGCGTCAGTCTCCGCAGGGGCGTCTTGGTCTGGTACATTTCCTTTCCGAGGAGGGTCTCGTCCCCGGCAATCAGCCGCGCCCAGTAGACTGCGGTCAGGGCGAGATAGGCATTCTTCTTGTGACGGTGGGATTGTGCGTCCTTGCCTCCATTCGACTCGAGAAGGTCCAGCGCGTACTTCAACAGCCGCGTGTGCTTGACCAAGTGGTTCGAACACCACCACGTAAACACCGCGGGAGACAGTCCGTCGCCTCTCTCAGAACCGTGTCTCCAGACCGCAAGGCTTTCGCGCTCCTGGACGAACATGTCCATGAGAAAGTCGTCTTCAACCGAGGGATCAAGAACCGTAGAGAACGACAGCGGCATGGCCGCCAATTCCTTTCTGCCTTCCGCCCACGGGATCTTGAACACCTCCGGAATCCAGTCGTCGTAGTCGAGAACAGGCTTGCGTAGGAACATGCAGCACGCGCAGGCTTCATTGTACATGAAGGATCGCAGGGACGTGATGTCGACGTGCCCGTGTTCGCTCTCGTACTTCAACGCCCGAGACAGCATTGTGGCATGGAGCCACGCCCCGTCCGCGTTTCCGGCTTGCGCCTCGGCCATGTACAGCGTTATGACATGCCAGTAGTTCGACTGCGAGACGAGTCCCGAACCCCGCTGTATCTTCCGAAGGAGCATGGAGGTGCTCTGGGAACGGAAACGGAGACTCTGGACGGCAAGCTCGGGATTGTCGGTGACGTTGGATGCGACCTGTGCCCATCGCGCGAGAAATCCCAGCGCGCCACCCTTCTCATTCAGTGACCGGACGACATCTCTCCAGTCGTCCATGGCGGCGTCGAGCGTTCTCCATCCGTCGGGACCGGTGTGATATTGGGTTGGTATGACAATGTCCCGATAGAATCTCAAGATGTCATTGACTCGTGGGGATATTGGCACGGGATAAGCGTTAAATGGATCGGAATTCCCTGAAAACAGCTTGACATCACACGCGACAAACCTTGGACTCGTGTCCGAGCTTATCAGAGGGTCCGAACCGTATGAAAGGCACGACGAGGCTGGAGAAGTGCCCTGTAGAGCAACATCATCAGTATGTCAACCAGTACTTGGCCACGGAACATATCCTCACCGACCACTCTGAGCGGTCTTCCTCGCTCTCAGAGGATTGTTCCCGAGAACCTGGTGTTGTCGGCAGTTTCACGCTCTTTCTAAGCTTTAGGGCGGAATCGCGTCTCTGCCATGGTCGGTATCGTTGTTGGATGTGGCTGAAGACGCGCTGACGGTGGGGCTGCGCTTTCATGTTCCGCGCATCATGGTTGACCCATAGCAGATCGCTTGGGAAGCCAGACTTGGGTGTTGATGCCTCGGCCATGGTGGGGATCTCATTGTATAGACTCGCACTCATTCGAAAAGAAAGCTTCACCTCAGATAGTGTGAACTGTGGAGTTGGGACGAGGATGGCGGGGCCCTGTACCGAGTTATTTGCTGTTTCTTCTTCTAGCTGAAAAACTGGCGAGAGATGGATGTTTGTCCCAAGATTTTATTTGGTCGAGATGTTTTAGGGGGAGCTTTCTCGATGCGTACATCGCCTGACTCGCCTGCTGACTCCTCAAGGATTGGCCTTATCGCCGCATTGTTCGCTTGGGAGCAGGGGCCGAAAGTTTGAGTAGCATTTGCCCATGCGCCTGTAAACCCCTGGGACATGGCTGAATGTGGTTGGGGATTACGCGATTTGACCACCTTTTGCGTTGGATTTCCATGGCTCTTCGAGACGCTGCATCTGGCCCTTTTGGAGCGTGGCCGGGCTCGGCACTTCGTATATGCTGAGTAACTGATGATAACTACCAGGCATTGGATTGTCGCAATTGGGGCGGCACAGCTTTCTGGAACAACCCTGGAACACATTTCCAGACAGGAGCCGATTCCTCGATGCCATATTGTTGCTCTTAAACAAGGCATGGCATTGGGGGAACCAGTCATCTCTCGCTTCCCTGGTCGTTTTCGTTGGACAGCAGAGTCTTGCTCGAATGCTGAGTAGATGGCTGATTGTTCGAGACAAGTGTGATGGGGTTTCTCTTCACAACTGTCACAACTTCACTTGAGACTTGATGCTCTTTCTCTGGCCTTGCGCACAGCATACAGGCTCTGTATATACACAGCTAAAGGATCCTGCGTCGAGGCTGAAGTGTGGAGAAGTGAGAGTGGTGTTACCCATCAGGCTATAGGCATGAGTTCAGATAGTGCTCAAAGTTGAAAATGCAGAACGTTCAACACATCACCGCACGGAAATTGACTCTCGGAAGAAATAGAGGGGGAGCTTCAACGGATGGTACAGAAGGAATGTCGGGTAGCCGAGCAAGCAACAGTCCTCGGCCCCAACACCACATACCACCATGCCTAGTGGAAGATGACGGGCAGTAGTGAGGCTGGCGTGACATGCAATGCAATAGTATGTGATGATACGTATATAAATCACCCTTGCAGATATATCCCTTGTCGATCCTCGGTCCGTGCTTCTCTGTCTCGACAGTGATATCTGCTTACACTCCCAGTGTGCAGATCTCTGAAGAATACATAACATGGTTCTTTGGCGCCGTTATCTCCTGGCTGCTCATACGGCGGACTTCCGCCGCGTGAAGACTCGTTTCAGTCTGCTGCTTTTCCCTTCTGGTGGCGTCTCCGTCGCTTCAGCACTGGCCGCAGCGGAATTCTCTCTGGACAGGTTTGTGTTACTCCCATTGTGCTCGTCGAGGGTTGGAAGTTGAGGGGCCACCGTCGCTCTCCTCTGATCTCGCACACTCTTCTTCGCACCCCTGGTAGTCCCCTGTTTGTGGAGGATATCATCCACAGTTTTGGTGCCGTAGAAACCTTGTAGTTGTTCGTCGTTCTCATAGTACAGTTTTGATTGGGCCCATTCTTTGAGGGCATCAAGGTAAGCTTGCTCGGAGGGGAACCCTCGGTATCTCTGGTCAGTGACAAGTGTGTCAATGGATTGCGCCGAGAAAATGCTCGCAGGTCGCGACGACTGTGTCTGTGACTGAGGGTCCCGGTCGAAGGTCGACTTTGGCTCCTTGATGGACATGATGGAGAAGCGCCCCAAGATCACGCAAGGAGCAGTATTGCTGATGAGATGCGAGAGTAATCCTACTTTCGAAGAGGTATCTGGGCGAGTTGGACGTCAAGAAAGGGCCGAGAACTTGTGAGTGTTGTAGTCACACCACAAGTAGCGTTCTCTTGCAGGTCCCTCGAACTAAGTATATTTAGACTTTGCCACTTCTTCTTGACCTGTCTCTTGTCTTTGCTGTCGTGGGAGAGAGCGAGACTATTATCCGTGATCTCCTACCCCTCGACCCCGCCTAACAGAAGCAGCAAAGCGGTGATCCCAGAATTAGAGGGGCGTCATCGGTTCGTGTACATAGGATGACCGGCCATTTCCCAGGGGCGGGCGGCCGGCTGCAAGGTGATGGTCGAGGATGAAGCCAGATAAGAAATATTGCATGCCCAGATATGCCAATGCTTGTGAGCAGGACACCCACGTGTAGCATCTAGGGCCCAGCACATGACACGCAGACTTTACCAACTGTAGGATGGATCCGGAGCCGCGGTCGTCCGGCATAAAAAGGAACGAGTCTCCAACAGTGGAATTCGACATGTGTGGTACACCATATCACAATGTACAAGGTACCAGGTACTGTATCTACGCTTGCATGTACGTGAAATATGCAGTGGCCGTATGTGGGAAAGGTTGCAGTGACCAGAGGGTTCGAATAGCCCGCGGTCTGGAAAACGTGAGGCTTTTGGCATATATATCCATACGAGGTACCCCAGGTCCAGGTCTGTGAGAGACACTGAGAGTCTCACTCTCGCTTAAGCCCGATTTTTCCAATGTTCCTCAATCCCCAGAGGCTCACTACAAGGGTGCTCGACGTCACAGCTAAGCAGAACCAGAAGGCTGCTCTATATCCTTCCATCAGAGCCTTTGGCGCCTGTTTATCTTGATAGTCGGACTGCATGGTGATACTTCCGGCGATAACAGCAGACAGAGCAAGACCGACGCTTTTGCCAATCTGAGCCACAGTGTTGAAGACTCCTCCTGCCAAAGCCTGGGTCTTTTCTGGAAATGCGGCAGTGATGACCAAGTTCGAAACGGTAAAGAGAACGTCTGGTCCTATGGCGTTCAACGCTATAGCGGGGAAAACATATTCCCAATAAGGCGCACGGACCTTCATGATCGCGACGAGAAGGGGTGAAATGGATGAAATGGCCATGGTGATGATGACAGCCCAGTCCGCGCGAACTTTATGCACCGCCAAACCCATGATAATATTTGTGACTACACCAGCAACTGGAGCTGGCAGGAAGCGGAGAGAGGTCTGTGTCGCGCTGAGGTGCTGAACATCCTGGAAGAAGAAGGTAAGTAGGGTTTCGGTGGCGTTGAATGCTCCCCATGCCAAAAAGACGTCGATGCAAACGCTCGTAAAGATCCTATTGCGCCACAGCGAGTTTGGAATGATTGCTGGACGATTGAGCTTTTCCTGTCGGCCAACCCACAGGATGAATGCCGGGATCAGAGCCACTGCCGTTGACAAACATGCGATGTTGGTGGGTGACTTTATGCTTGAAACATTGCCAGTCAGGACACTATCTTCTTTTAGTTCGGCCTTCGAAATCGTCATGTGGATGGGTACTCACGCAAACACGTAAGAGAGGAGACCTAGCGCAGTGCTGAGGATCAAAGCCCCGGGCCAGTCAATGTCTGTCGCCAGCCTTTTGATTGACAACCGTGTTGGCTGTGCCGACTTTGGCAGACCGGTGACAGCCAATGCGAAAATGACAGCATTGATGGCGGCTGCAATATAGAATCCGGCACGCCAACCCGGGCCATCAGCCAAGATACCGCCCATGACAAGGCCGATTGAGAAGCCTACAGGCTGACCAGCACCCATCATTGCAAACGCAAAATTGCGACGACGCCCGTGAGGGAAATACGACGTGATGAGACTCACGGCCGAGGGCAGACAGAAGGCAATTGCAACGCCAGCCAGTGCGCGGAAGAAGAGGAGCTGCAAGCTGTCCTGCGCCAGTCCACATGACAGGGTAAATGCGCATTGAAGTAGGCATCCTAGCAGATACATGAAACGATTGCCTACCACGTCGGCCACAGCTCCTGAAAGTATCAGTGAGCAACCGCAGGTTAGAGCATAGATGGACGCAGGCCTACGACGTATAGTTAGTCTTAGACTTCACAGGGTATTCGGTGGACGGGCGAGTACCATAGAAGAACCGAGTCTGGAAGATGAAGGTCTTTGGCCAGTGTTGGTAGAGTCACGGTTACCAGCCCAGCCAGGAGACTGCTGATGCCCGTAACGCCAGTCACAGACACAAAGATCACCGCAGTAGAGCCTTTCCGTAGAACAGGCTGCCCCGGCGAGGTTTCAGGAATCCTTTCAGACAGAATGCCATCATCATAATCATCATCATTATGGGCTATTGGTGGCTGCGGCGTAAGCAGGGCCGAAGCTGGAGGTGTGAGTTCGATCGTGGTGGTTTTGGACATTGTGGAAGCAGGCTATCCTCGTCAGATTACTGTTTCTGCTACAATCTGCAGTAAAGTAGATTGTGATATAGCATTTTATATGTATCTCCCAGAAGTGCCTGAGATTTTGGCCCATCGAAGGGCGTGTGCTCATTAATGCTGTGATGTCACTCTAGGGCTCTCGACTTGTGGTGCTGGTGCTACCTCTGGGCATTTGATAATCCCGCCGGGAAGGAAGAATGGTAATCCGAAGCCTCACGCTAAACTATTTTCAATACTTGGCATATTTGGACAGTTTGATATGTTTGATGACCTTGGTGGCTCACGAAGCTTTCGCCAATCTCACCGGCTCTCCTGATTGATGGAGATTTGGCACCTGCGTCTCTCAAAAAATCAGGTACAGAGCCGCCAAGGTGCCCCCCCTGAACACGCCACTCTCAAAGCCCACCACTCACCGCCTCAGCACATCCGGCTCCCTAGGACTGTCTGCGCGTCAGTCCACCACCGGCACCACCACCTAAACATCTGTGTGGTACCTACCCGGAAGCTCCAGAGCCGCCAGGCCCGAGTGATGCCACCAGGACATTGCCCAATAAAACTCCCTTGCCAGCCCACCTTGCCAATCGAACAAGGGCTTTCCGGAACAAACCACTGAATCTCAGGGTCTTCTTTCAATTCGAGATTCAGATAATTTATTGACCGAGAGGACTTTTTATACCTTTTTTCTCTATCCTGCGTGCCCTGCTCTCTTCTCCTTCCACAACCAGTCTGCCGTTGTCTTGTCATTCGTTCTCCGTCGCTCTTCCTACCTCACACTTTGTTGCTTTCGAGGTTGGAGCAGTCAAGATGTATGCTCTCCGAAAATCCAAGAAACACTCCTGGAATGCAATAGTTTGGCTGAACTAACACACCTCTTGTAGGAATTCCACAACCTACGCCGCACCCGTCACTTACACGGACTACTTCAACGATATTGCCGCCTACAATGTACACCTGAACATCTTTGAGAAGCTCTGGGCAGCATGGTACGCGTACATGCAGAACGATGTTTTAGCGACGGGCATTATGAGCTTTGCCATGCATGAACTGGTGTACTTTGGGAGGTGTGTCCCTTTCATGATTATGGACAAGATTCCCTATTTCAGGAGGTATAAGATCCAGGCGGTAAGTCCTCCCATATCTCTCAGGATGGAGGTTTCAAGAACTTTGGGTCGCTGACACCAAATTCTTCCAGAACAAAATGCCCACGCTTTCCGAACAATGGGCATGCGCCAAACTGGTCCTCCTGTCTCACTTCACCGTCGAACTCCCTCAAATCTGGCTCTTCCATCCGATGGCACAATACTTTGGCTTGTCCACCTCCGTTCCCTTCCCTCCGTGGTATACCATGGCCTGGCAAATCGCCTTGTTCTTCGTTCTCGAAGATGCATGGCACTATTGGTTCCACCGAGTCCTCCACTTGCCTCGACTTTATAAGATGATTCACAAGCTGCATCACCAATACAGCGCGCCATTTGGGCTTGCCGCTGAATACGCCTCCCCACTGGAAACCATGATTCTCGCATTCGGCACCGTTGGAATCCCCATTGTCTTTTGCGCCTTTACCAAGAACCTCCACATCGTGACAATGTACCTCTGGATCGTGGGGCGACTTTTCCAAGCGATTGACGCGCACTCTGGATATGAGTTTCCATGGTCACTGCATCATCTCTTGCCTTTCTGGGCCGGAGCCGACCACCACGATGTCCATCATGAGAAATTCTTAGGGAACTATGCTAGCTCCTTCCGATGGTGGGATGCAGCATTGGGTACCGATATTGGAAGTGCTTCCGAAGGGGCAAAGAAGAAGGCAAAGAAGATCGCCGAAGCCAAGGATGAATAGAATCATGCTGTTGGCGGAAACTTGAAAGCATTTGACAAGAAGTCTCAACCGAGCTTCGTTGTACATAATCGGTAAATTTCACTGTGAAGAGCGAGAAGCGGTGGGATACCTTGGTGCATACGTGGCGTTGGGTTGCATAGAACAGGCATGGTAACTGGATAGGTTGGCATATTCATGATAGTCCCCTCAAAACTTGAGTATCATTATAGTTCTGACACGACCTCGTCTCGAGTTTTTGCTTTTCTCTTGCTGATCTTTGCAGAGACCATTGGCTGTTCTCGCTGTGGTCCCTTCTCTAGCGGTATGGTTCTCCTTGAGCGGGGAGTTTCAACTTCGAACCACGAGGGTGCCGCTATGCCTGGTCTCATGAAGATTCGCCTGGGGTGGCAGCAGGTTTTGCTTTGGCTGTACCGCAGGAGCAACTTTCCAATGCTTCGGATATTTGCCGCCGGTTGAGGGCAATCATTTGTTCGCGATGATGGACCAGCCGTTTCTCAATCTCATCCGAATCTTGCGCGCCATCTGGGCTGACAGGCTCCGTGACGCTGAATGCACCCAGGATCGCGTCAATCTTGTGTGCAAGCCTGGTGTCTCGAACGCTCAGACCTCGAGGACTGTGGGTTGTACATGTAATGGTCATGTATCTGTTTTCTCCGCCAAAATTTCCACGACTAATGTGTGGGTGATGATTCATTTTCTCAGCCTCGACCATAATCAACCGTTCCGCCTCATCGCACTCCCGGACAGAAGGATGAGCCGTGTGTCGATGTATAGCATCGCCGAGGGCATCAAGTTGCCATTGGGTCGTGCCAAATGACAACCCTGATGAACGCTTCAATGGGAGATCATCTGGCCGAGAGGTTTCCGATGTTGAAAGCAACGAGGCAAGGGCATCCGCAAGCTTATCACGGTTTGCTTTCGGAGTAGGCGAAAGCTTCTGCGAAACTGTCTCGCCATTATTCAGACGGAATGTAATGGTTTGGCGGTCATCGGAAATTGCGATTGGGTCGCTCGAGGAGAGGGACAAGCATCTTTGCGGCTGTGAGGAGTACATACAAGGACGAAGCTGGGGTGTCCGCTGGCACTGGAGTCGCAGTTTGTCCACATTACGATAAGCTGATGCATTTGCATGAGACCGGACGAGATAGTTTCCTACACGACCAGCAAGTCGCATAGTTGGGAAAGCACAAGAGCTGACTCTTGCAGGGTTTGGAACAATTCAACGTATTAAGTTGTTTGCTGACTGCGATGCAGCCAAAGCAGCTCAATTGCCTGCAGCACCTGCGGCAGCTGCGGTTCCTACCGAGCCTAACTACCCCTTCTGGAGCTTGTCATCAATTCCACATCCGGCATCTACAATGTACCAAGGATCTCGTACTCGTTAACACCACCAACCTCCAGTGAAGCAAGGATCATGGTCAACTAATTGTCAGCATCTTATCCTCTTCATTATTCTTTCTCGTGCCTTCAGTCGCACGGTGATTGTTCTTTGCCGAGAATGAAAGCACAGAACATTGACGGCCAGCGGTCTCCCTTCTGTTCGGGCGCAGTTTTCGATTGGTCTTCATGACAATCAACCGCGTCCACACACGAGCTACTGGATGCAATGGACCGCGTACAAGGAATTGGGATCAAACACCACCTTCCCTGGTCTCCTCCAAGCTTCGGCTCAGATCCTGCCCACCCACGAAGGTTCTGCCTTGCTATAAATTCCTGAAACGCTTGTCGTTTGGCACAAGCCTCGCGAACAGGCATTGGTGCGAACCTCGCGCCTACTCAGCCCCCGAGCGATGGATTCGCTTGCGCAATATTACAGCCCACCTAGTGGTAAGCCTTATGCAGGTACACTAAATCCCAGTCTCTGGGAGCTTCCTTATGGAAGGAACGCGCCCAATGCGTGAGCTCGTGTCTGAATGTACTTTTCTTCTCATATTTCCTCCATTTGAGGCGCATTGCTTTACAGGTCCAAGAGGTTGCTTTTCGGGTCTGCGTTACATTTTCTGGGTCCGTCAGTTCAAGCATTGCTCTGGTCGTCTTCCACCAATCTAGAGAGCATCGGGGAAGGACATAATAACGCAAATCTCGGGGGACCAAAGGATGCGCCGAGTTGAATTTCTTTTTCCACTTCTTACCGTCGATTGCGCGGTGAGAGCAATTCCCCTACAGCGAGACATATACAACCCTCTACTCCCTCTCAAAAGCGTCGCCAGCGAGATCTTCGGCTACACGACAGCCATCTCTGGACCAGAGTCGTCGATAGAGCAAACACAAACAGCTCTCTCCGCTTCCTCCACTCCTTCGGCAGATTCACCAGCAACGTCTGCCCAATCAAGCAACACACAGACCGATCTCACCGGAACAGGATCTGTAACAGTTACCCTCAGCAATACACAGCTGTCCACTGGAAGTGCTTCACCTACGGACGCAGCTTCCAACTCCGCCGTTGGCACAGCGACGACAACGCCTACTGGCATTCTTTCACCATCGCCGGGCTCAACTGGCGCGCCTATCAGCGTGGTTCCTACCACCACTGAAAGCAGTGGCTCGTCGCCTACCGATGCCAGCTCTGGTCCTGGGTCAAACTCTGGATCAGGAGGGAATTCAGGCTCTGGGTCAACATCAGCCGACTCAACGAGCGGGTCAGGTCTGTCGCCAGGAGAGATTGCCGCAGCAGTCATTCTCCCTGTTATCGCTTTTGCCGCCTTATTGTTTCTTCTCTTCCGCTTCTGTAAACCTCTCCGCGAAAAGTTTCAAGCTTGGCGGCAAGAACGACTGGATCGATCCGCGTACCGACGAGCGCTTGATGATCCTGTTCTTGCCTTCGGCATGCGTCAACAAAGCGATCGAGGTTCAAATGGTTTTGGCGTGGGCGACGAGGACCAGTCGACACGTCCCTTGTCTTTTGGATTCCGGAATCCTCAGAGACAATATCCTAGCATCAAGAGAAAACCTTTGACTTGGGATGCTGCGCGAATAGGCGGCCAAGGAGCCTCATCAATTGGGATGGCAATACCAATGCCCCTGGGACACCGTCCTCGGAGCCTCAGTGAGATATCGGAGGTGAGCGATATCAGTAGTGATGGTGAGGCGAGATATGAGGACGCCCGGTCGAATCAAGTATCGCCAGAAGGGATCCTTTCATGATGTCAACGACATATTTCACATTTTCATTTGTCCAGCGATATTCTGTCTATTTATGAGCGAGCAAGCGATCAATATTCTGTAAATATATTCGACCTGACTTGGAGTGTTGGGATGTCCATTTCTCTGAGAAGAGTTTTGAACCCTGTAGATATATACCAAAACAAAAAGTTTGATTAACTAGTATGATACTTACATGGCACCTTTTGGAGTAAACGAGGAACGAAGTAGTTTTACGAGAGTGATATATCTGGACATGTACTTGTAGTATTATCTGAGAAGGAGTGGGCATCAACGACAACCAACCAATGGCAGGCAGCGTGACACGAGCCTCTGGTCCTATTGGCGATCCGACCCTCATAACAGCCTGATCAAAATTCAACAAAAGAAGCAGACAAACACGAAAAGAATATACTAGACGAAAGAAACGTGCCTTGTATATATCTGCTGACCCTCCCAAACTCCTCTATCAACACCCAACAAACTCGCTAAAACCGAGGACGACAACCACGAGGTAGTTATTTTGTACGGAGAAAATTATGGACGACATCGACCTCCCCGCCCTGCGGGATAACCTCATCACCATCGCCCTGCAGGCGGGCTCCATGATCACCGCTGCATCGTCGTTGTCCTTGAACAGCGGCAGCCCCGGCACGCAGCCGAAAGCGGCCACGTCGACGAAGAAAAACTCGGCCGACCTGGTCACGGAGACGGACAAGGCGGTCGAGGACTTCATCTCCAGCACGCTGAAACGGCTGTACCCGACGTACGAGTTCATGGGCGAGGAGACATACGTCCCGGGCAACAAGCTCGGGCCGGAGCCGACCTTCATCGTCGACCCGATCGACGGGACCACGAACTTTGTCCACGGCTGGCCCTACGTGAGCGTCAGTCTGGGGTTCGCGGTGAATCGCGTGCCCACCGTCGGCGTGGTGTTTAACCCGTTCACACGCAAGCTGTACCACGCGATCAAGGGCCGGGGGAGCTACCTGCGGATCGTGCGAGAAGAAAGCGCGGCTTCGTCAGTATCTTCTTCGGCGGCGGCAGACGGGGCCGACACGAAGCTGCCCCTGAGATATCCCGGCGCGGTGGCCGGGCTGGACGAGTGCGTCGTGGCGATCGAGTACGGTAGCGACCGGACGGGGACGAACTGGCGCACCAAGATCGAGACGTGGGCCGTCCTGGGCGCCAGCAAGGACGAAGGCGGCGCCATGGTCCACTCGGCCCGAGCACTGGGTTCCGCCGCCCTCAACCTGTGCGCCGTCGCTGAGGGCTCCATCGACGTCTACTGGGAAGGCGGGTGCTGGGCCTGGGACGTCTGCGCCGGCTGGGTCGTGCTCACAGAGGCCGGCGGGCTGGTCGTCGACGGCAACCCCGGTGCCTGGGACATCCCTGTCGATCACAGAAAATATCTAGCCGTGCGGGCGGCGGAGAAAGGCCAGAGAGAGCTGGTGCAGGAATTCTGGTCATTTATCAAGGGCCGTATGGAGTATGAGCATTGATAACTCGTGAGGGTGGGACAAAGTTGAGCCGCCTACTGGAGGATGCTGGACGTGATACGGGATGAAAAAGCAGCGAAAATAGACATATAGAAAACGAAAAAATTGCGAATTCGGCAAGTCAACATGCTCCAATTTTGTGGCCTCCTGAGACTCTCTATCCTTTCCTTGCTGGTTGTCCCGATAATGTTACATTTGACGCTATGCAGAAGGAAAAAGGGAGACCCAACATGAACACAGCATGAAACTCACTTCCATAACTTGCCCAGTGACACCTCCTTGTCATCGTGCTTGTTGAGGACTTTGGCCGTGGCCAGGTCAAAATCTTCTTGCGTGACGTGGACTCTCCTTTCTCGTAACGCAAACATACCCGCTTCGGTACACACACCCTTGAGTTCGGCGCCGGAGCAGCCGTTCATCTTTTCAGCAATCTTCTTCAGGTCAATTCCTCTGGTCAAGTTCATGCTCCGGGAGTGGATTCGCAGGATATCGGCTCTGGCCTCGACAGTTGGCGGCGGGAACTCGATCTTGCGATCAATACGACCTGGTCGAAGCAGGGCAGGGTCTAATATATCAAGTCGATTCGTTGCCATGATGACTTTAATGTTGTTGGTCGGTTCAAAGCCATCAAGCTGGTTCAGCAGTTCCAACATGGTGCGTTGTACCTCGGAGTCTCCGCCGCTGCTGCCCTCCACACGGCTGGAGCCAATGCTGTCGATTTCGTCCATGAAAATAATGCTGGGTGCATGTTCTCTGGCCATGACGAAAAGTTCTCGCACCATTCTGCTCCCTTCACCAATGTATTTCTGTACCAGTTCCGATCCTGACACTCTGATGAATTTGCAGTCGGCATGATGAGCCACAGCTCGAGCCAAAAGTGTCTTGCCTGTTCCTGGCGGTCCATAGAGAAGGACACCCTTGGGCTGAGCGATCCCGAGCGACTCGAAAAGTTCCGGGTGATTCAAGCCCAGTTCGATGACTTCCTTGATCTCTTTGATTTGCTGATCAAGCCCACCGATCATATCATATGTGCTGTCCGGAACCTTCTCAACCATCATCAAGGAAACTAGAGGATCGACGGATGAGGGGAGCATCTTTTCGAGTTTGTAAGAGTCGGAGAGAAGGGAGACTCGCTTTCCCACGGTCAATTTGGAGATGTCGACGCTGTCAGCGATATCGACAACTTTGCCAGTGGTTAGCCTGTGTTGGAATCCTGATTTCCTTTTGGGACTTACCGTATTTGCCTTCTGGGTGTACCTTGACCAGCACCTTTTTGGTCCCCATAACCTTGACGACCTCGCCCACGTAGGAGCCGGGCTGCTGGAGTAGACCCAATTCTTCCCGCAGAAGCCGTACTCTTGAGTTGTAATCATTTCGTTGTGCTTCTAATCGGCGTAACACCGCTTGGCCTTGGAGGATCTCAAGCTTGAGAGCTTCGATTTTGTTGTGGTAAAAGTTGTCAAGGGCCATGATGGGAGACCGTGGCTGAGGATGCGGAGCAACCGGGAGAGGCTTTCTTGTTGCAACAACACCG